TGCATTAAAGATTAAAGACATGAAGGAGCACTTGGATTCTGTTTTGGATCTTGATGTGAATGAGTCAAAATTGAAGAGAGTAAAGAGGCTTGTCTTAGACAAATTAGATGGTAGTTACGCGGATGATTATAACAAGTTGGAGGCATACGCACAAGAATTGAGGATGAGTAATCCAGGAACTGATGTAGTGATCAATTTGTCAAGAGATGCTATGGAAGAAGGCAAAAGAAGATTTTTAAGGCTGTATATATGCTTTCAGGCATTAAAGGAAGGCTGGAAAGGAGGTTTGCGACCTTTTATAGGGCTAGATGGCACCTTTTTAAAAGGAAAAAGTAAGGGAATAATGTTGGTCGCAATGGGACAAGATTCGAGTAACCATTTCTATCCACTTGCTTGGGCCGTAGTAGATAAAGAAACTAAAAGAACTTGGAACTGGTTTCTAGAGCTGCTGAAACATTCTTTGGATTTAAAGTCGGGTGAAAATGTCACTTTTATATCAGATATGCAAAAGGTATCTTTACTTTAAGTTCATTTCATCTTTTCTTAGCTAGTTTTCATGTACATTATTCTGCAACTAATCTGAATTTATGTTTTTGAAGGGTTTATTGAATGCTGTTACTAATGTATGCCCACAAGCAAATCATCGATGGTGTGTTAGGCATATTGAAGCTAATTGGAGCAAAAATTACAGAAGTGGGGAGTTGAAAAAGCTTCTTTGGTGGTGTGCGTGGAGTACATATGAGGAGGAGTTCAAAGATCAGCTGACAAAAATGGGTGAGTTGAATAAGAAGGCTACTAAGTCCTTGGTGAGCTATCCATCAGAAAAATGGTGTAGAGCATATTTTGACACCAAATGCAAAAATTTCATGGTTGACAACAACTTCACGGAGTCCTTCAACTCATGGATTGTAGAGGCCAGACAAAAACCAATCATAAAGATGCTTGAAGAAATAAGGGTGAAGGTTAGAAAATCTTACCTTTTTAAATTCCATAATATTTGATATGAACAAGTGTTAATTCTTTTAGATTTATGTATTAAGCTATTGGAATAAGTTCTAACTTGAAGAGGAAAAAGTGTTTTAAGCTACTGAAAAAGTTTTTAACTTGAGTTATAACAAGTGTTAAAAGTGTTATCATTTTGATTCCAGTAGCGTTTATGATGAAAAATTAATCCATTTGATCGCGCTTTTAATCTACTTTAAATCAAACTGCTAGTTTAGAGTAATAATCAGAATTTTAGATATTTGTTTTAAGGTGTTTTAAATTTCTGTTTTTTCAGTTCGTGCAACATTAGCTGGTTCATTTTTTTTGTTTTCGATTATTGTTGTATAGGTAATGAACATGTTAAGGAAGCATGAGGCTGAAGTTAAAAGTTGGAAGAATGAGTTTTCACCACATGCAATGCATCTCTTTAATGACTACAGGGTCATTGCCCAACGATGTAAGGTTGAGTTTAATGGGGGCTGTGGATATGAAGTGACCGAGGGTGTGGATAGACATACAATCAATATAGAACTTAAAAGATGCTCATGCAGAGTATGGGACTTATCTGGAATACCATGTCCTCATGCCATCAAAGCATTTATCCATAAAAAAATTGACCCTATTGCTGAAATACACTGGTGGTATTCTAAGGAAGCGTATTTGATGGTATATAAGCACAAGATCGAACCTGGTAGAGGTGAAATTTTTTGGAAGATGGAGCCGCACCATGCCATGGAGCCTCCTACTTTAGCTAAGATGGTTGGTAGACCAAAGATGAAGAGAACAAGAGAGAAGGATGAGGCTAAAAATAGGCAGGGGGTTTGGTCAGCTTCTAGAAAAGGAATGCTAATGACTTGTGGTTATTGTGGTGAACCAAATCATAACAGAAGAAAATGTCCATTGGTAACAATCGTAACTTCATAAATGTGTTCCCCTTTTGTATCTAACGATCATCATTTTTTTTCTTTTTCTTTATGCAGCTCAATGATAAACACAAAGACGTCTTCCAAGATGAAAAACTCTCAAGAATCTCATAATGTGCCCTTGACAGAATCAGAAAACACTCAAGAAAGTGTATGTTTCTTCATTTCTGTTCCTGGTTCAAGTCAGATCTCTAGCCAGACCTGTATTGTAGCAGGGTATGATTCAGACCCTACTTTATATCCTAAAGTGGTGTCTGAAAGTAATTTGAGACTTCATGAAAGACTGAAGAAGATAAATACTGGGACAAGAAAGATAACTTTCCAGGGAGATCACGATGGTATATCAATACCGACCAACCTTCCATATTCACCAAAAAAAGTAACTTGGAAAGGGAAAGAAGCAATGACTTCAAACCAGTTACAAGCTACAAGGGAGAGAAAAATTGGCAAACTTAAGCCTATAGGGGGCAAGGGGATGTAGGACTTGTTTTGTATTTACTGTCTTAAGTGTTATGTAAGGAGAACATGAAACAATGACTCCAAACAATTAGTGTTTTTGCTGATTTTTGTACTCTTAATGGTTGTTACACAACTATCGTAATGACTCCAAACAACTAGTCCTTTTGCTGATTTTTGTACTCTTAATAGTTGTTAGACAACAATCGTAACGACTCCAAAGCGTTACCTTTCTAATATCAATATTGTTTAATTGTGACAGTTGTAGATTTGGTTTAGTTGTGTGTATTGTTGATTTGGTTTACTTGTCAAAAGTTTATTTTAGTATTATTGTGTTATATGGTTGAAAGTTGCGGAGAACTTAAACAATTAGGCAGCCATCACTTTGTTCTTTGTTCTCCTTGTAATTCTCCTTTTATGGCTGCTCGGTGATGGAAGGTGCATCAGTCAGCTGATAATACATCACGTAAGCCATATAACGTTGATCAAGACTTTGAGGCTCCATTGGTAATAGTATGATCCAAGAACGAATCTGTCAGCATTAGATGAAATCAAGATTTTACCAGTGAAGCATATCCTCCTCTGTCAAAGTTTAAGCTATTATAAAAGCTTGCAATGTAAAGATGAACATTATTCAACAAAACTATACAGTCAATCTTTTCACCCAAAAATATTTGTTTAACAACAGTCTGCCTATTACTCACAGCTCTATCGAATTCTAGCATAAATCATCTTTTCACATCTTCTTTTGTAGGTTTACATCCATAACGATCTTGTTCTAAATGCTTCAAGAAGATGGAGAGGCTCTTCGACATGGTTGTAACTCATTTCCCCTTTTTGTTCATATTCACCGAAAATGGTGAAATTCAAGAACATCTCGAGCAATTCATCTCCTTCATCTTTGTCATATCGTAAGCTGATCAAGAGCTTCATTATCCAAAATGAGATTTGATTCTCAAGCAAAAACATACCATGAACCCTAAACCTCCATCCTCGGCAGCTGCTAAAAAAAAAGGCTGAGAATAAACCTTAAAAAAACGTTGAGGCATTTTTAAACCAAAAGGTGGAAGGAGGACATTTTTGAACCATTTGGGATACGTTAAGGGCATTTTTAACCCTTTTCCCAAAAAGAAATGGCCTTTGTGTATTTTAGTTTGAAAGTATGATCCTTTGTGTATTGATGCTTAGCGTTAGACATATTAATTTATGTCATTATCAAATCATATTTTCTTACACGTTTAAACTTCTTCATTTTTACAAGTATTTTTTAAACCAGAACTTTCTTAATCCAGCTACATTGATCAATCATAATTCAATAGAACTTTCTTAATCCAGTTATTGAAGAGTATTTTATTTTTACAACTTCATTTATTTTCTTTAAAAAATTAAGAATTATCTCATTCATAAAAAGGTGATGCCAGTGTATTGCTGCTTCTATTGCTGTTGCTGCAAGGCTCAACCAAACTAACAGTACTACTATAGCATAAAGAATAATGATAACAATCACAAGGGTGACTTCTTTGTAGACGAATCAAATAGTTTTTCTTTATATTGTTCAAATGGTAAGAATATTTGTTTCCATTAACACTAGTTCACCAATTTAGGAGCTTACAATTCAGTTGTTTTTACTATTTTAGCTCAAGTAACAACATAACACTTCCTTGAATACCTTATTTCTCAATCCAAAGCAGCATAATGTTACTCAAAAGTCATGTTTTCCACCTCTTCTCTAATGGAATCAAACAGCACAGTGGAAAGATAACGCTCTCCAGAACTAGCGATAATAACCTGCATAGAGAGTTAAAACAGAGAGTTTTAGGGCAGTGTTCAAAAGTTTTAAGGAGACAAAGAAAGAGTGGTATCACTTATCAGCTTACTGAATAGATCTAACTTACCACAATAAGTTTCCCAGCATTTTCTGGCCTTTTTGCTACTTTTACTGCAGCAGCAGCTGAAGCCCCCGATGATATTCCTACCTGAAAATATTCCAAATGAAAAAGGAAGTATGTCGTGATGATATCAGAATGCACATCACAAATGAAGCGGTGGAACACACACTACCACAAAAACAACTTTTAGCGGCAATATTGCACATTAGCAAAGAGTTTACCGACTTTAGTTAATTACATTTAGATCCACTGTCACTAAAAAGAGTGCTAATTGCCACTAACTGATCTTTATTGACCGGTGAACTTACCAGCAGACCTTCTTTCAATGCAAGAAGCTTTGCCATTTCAATAGCTTCATCACTAGATACCTGAACATAAATAAAAACAGAAGCTGATATCATACCAGGAAAAACTTATACACACTGAACAGAGATTTAAATGTTTATAATCTGACAACTACTTATATGGTATACAGCCTTACTTGAAGAACTTCATCCAGGATGCTGAGATCGAGAACAGGTGAGATTAAACCAGGACCAATTCCTTGGATTTTATGCGGCCCTTTAACGGTAACATGTAATTACACATAACAGTCTATGATAAAAAATAATTCACAGAATGTAGTGATGAAAACACGGTGTGACAGATAAGCTGGAAAAACTCTCTATATGGAACTAATGCAATGGCATTTTCGAAGGGGGAAAGAAACTCGACTGACCTAGTTGTCCTCCATTTAGAAATGCATTTTCGGTTGGTTCTAAACCATATACCTGATCTTCCGACAAGACAAAAGATGGAAAGAAAATCACAAATCAAGTCCGAAGGAAAGAAGAACAATGCCGGTCACAAATAACCTTACCTTTATTTCTGGATTCTTCTCCTTAAGAAACCTTCCAATTCCTGTCACTGTGCCTCCAGTCCCAATCCCAGCAATTAAAATATCAACTTTCCCTCCGGTACAATTCCATATTTCAGGTCCAGTTGCTTCATAATGTATCTATAAAATGGATATATACTTGATAAGTGTTATGTTTTTATAACAAATGAATTGAGTTATTTGTATAGACACCTTTGGATTGGCAGGGTTTTCGCTCTGACGAAGAAAATAACAGCTCGGTGTTCCGTCTTTTATCTCTTGGGCCTTCTGAAGCACACCATCTATACCTTTGGCAGGATCTGTGATGTATAACTCAGCCCCCAAAGCTTTAAGAACAATCCTTTTCTCAATACTATATGATCCTGGCATCACTATCACGAGTTTATAGCCACGAACTGCTGCAATAGACGCAAGACCAATGCCGGTATTTCCACTGGATACCTCAATGAGGACCGTCTAAAGCCACCATTATTTCAACATTTCGAAAACCAAGAAAATAATTTTCGCTCAGCCTTTCAGAGAAATGATCATTGACCACAGGGAACTACAAGTAAAATTTGTGGCCTTTCAGATAAATTATATATATATATATATATATATATCTTCAATGTGTTCCTTTATCATCTTGCTATTTATTCTCATACAAACTTCACCAACCTTTCCAGGACTAATCAGGCCCCTGTCTTCTGCATCTTTGATCATACTCCATGCAATCCTACATATTAAGAATTGGAAGTTAGATATAAGATGTCAATAATTCAAGATTTTGCAAATTGAGCGAAGAAACAGGATGAGGGGAGTGAAAGATAAACACCTATCTTTGATACTTGAGCATGGTTGCATTATCTCCAATTTGGCTGCAATTTGGGCAGCACAACCTTCCGCGATTTTGTTGAGATATACCATAGGGGTGCTTCCAATAAGCTACATTGTGAAGACAACAAAATGAGATGAATGCTAAGAGTACCAAGAAAGATCCCAGAAAGGAAACTACTTCTGTCACATCTTTCGCGATCTCATGACTCTTCTCTTCCATATTTCCTTGCTCACTTACTGCAACAAGAAAAAAGAGTTAAGCATCTTTAATTATAGGAAGAAGATAGAACATATGTAACCTACAACACAATTAAAACTAAGGAATAGTTTGTTCAAAACTGGTAATAACAAAAGGAGCTGTTATTTCCACAACAATCAGCCTATAAATTACTTTAAGGAGCTGTTAACTACCAATCTACCACTATAAGTTAAGTTAGACAAAAAAAAAATTCCAATTATACTCTCAATTCATTAACATTCATGAGTTAATGTCTTTGAAAAATGTAGTAAGTAAATATGTTTGACACCTTATCAATTAATAGAGTTAAAATGTTAAAACTCACTGCATCAATCATTATTTTCATAATAGGTGTGCCAAGTTAAAATTTAACAAGTAAAAAGGGACGGCTAATAATAAATGAGACCACAATAAAAAAAACACCGAAAATTTATAATGTTTAGCAAAAAAAAAAAAATTTGGCCTAATTCTCGAACACAACCAACCAAGATTTATTCCACTCCAAAATGCCTTAAAGATGAGAAGGAGTGCTGGCCCCATGGTGAAGCAAGTCAGGCACTAGCTTTTGCCCCAAATTTGGAAAGGTTGTGGGGGTATTCGAAGTGAAAATTGTGAACACGGTTTTTTGGAGTTTTCAAATTCATAAAAAGTTACCGAAGGTATTTTTATAAACAAATTCTTTTTATATATCAAAATTATGTTTAAATAAAGATCCCTTTTAAACCAAAAAAAAATCAACTCATAAACTTGTCGCTAAACATTTGTTGTATCACGCATCTTCATGATAATTTACTTGATCTTGGGTACTGAAATACAGAGGCGAGAAAAAGAGGGAAAACAAATGGCCGGTCTATCAGCAATAACATACATATAATGCACCAAATTCTTAATAAAATTCCATGAGGCATTCCTTACGCTTAAACGGTGAACACCAATATTGCCAACAAAATTAAGCCCAACATGATCAGATACTTGAATATAATGTTAGGAAGAAGCAACCAAAAAAGTTATGTCAATCAAGAATAAGAACCAAAATTGCACTTCATGTGACATTGATACAATCCATAACAAGAAATCCAACAATTGATTAAGTTGACGTTTACCTTCATCACATCATTTGGGCATATATACTCAAACATTAGGTGCATGTTAACTGGATTAACCCCATTTCAATTAAGCTTTTGGCAAAGATGCAGCCTTCCATGACGAAGTACAATCATGCCTCTCTAATATGGGAGGGAAGGGGCCACGATTCTCTTTCAAGGACTTACTCTCCAAAAAGAAGGCTCAGTGTACAGGATAGTGATTCCGTCCATGTCCATTTCAATGTAGCATGAGAGAGTATTCCTAGGGGCACACCGATAATTGAAAAATAAAATACGAAAGAATTCTAAACGACTCTATCGGCCAAAACTGCCATATCATTTATCAAGGCTAACACAACTTTCATTTGATACCCTTTTTGCATATAAGATTCGGGAAGCTTGTAATAGCAAAGAACATGTTTGGGTGTGTTACCCAAGGGCCTATCGACTCCAAGTGAGTTCATCTCTGCATCTCATCACTTTAATGAGTTAGTATTACTACACATTTTCACAATAAACATATTCTTGGATGTACCTTCATATTTCACTGCCAAATAACAATTTAGTTTTTTCAAGGCCCACCTTTCTCTCAATACGCCAAGTCTTATTTTGCTCTTAATTACATGAGTAACTAAGGAGAAACATAGTATAGGTTGAGGTTTATGACTAGCTATGTATACAGCATACAGGTCTTGCCGTCTTGGTCGACAAACATGATTGTAGGAGATTCTAATTGACATTTTTGAAGAGACAAAGAGCAATTTAGGTTGTCACTTGTTTAACTTCTTTCAGCTCCAACAACAATTCAAAATTATAAAGAAGACTATGATTAATTCATAGATTTCACAATTCATATTGCAGAAAATGATTAATTCTAAAGTTGAAAAGCCAATACTAATTGTTACTGCAATTTTACCCACCTTAATCTTGAGCTCATAATTTTTTTGTAAGAAAAAGTTTCAGATATCAAATCAGATAAAACACTAATTTCAGAGCTTAATCAAAAAAATTAGATAAAAATAATAGAATTCAAAAATAAAAAAACTTGATTGAAGCCTGTAAAAAGAAGATGGAAGAGGGACGAAAAGAAAGTATACCTCTGCGTCGAATAAAAAAATGGATAACACAAATCAAAATTTGAGCAAAAATCACTCCAATATGAGAGAAGTTAAAAAACTACAAAGACATGGGAGAGAGAAAGAGCTTTAGAAAGTAATATTATAAACAATTCAACACTTTACTTTGGACAGAACAATTTCTTGTGAAATGTGTTTGTCACGTGAATCATAACTGCCCTTGACAGAAATAACAAATTTGTTTGTATTAGTTATCACTGTTAGTAGAAGGACTAAAATAATTGATTATAATTAATTAAAGGTTAAACCTGGGAAGTAAGATATCACAGGGATCAAAACCAAAATAAGGCAATAACACAGGGACTAAAATAATTATTTTCCCATTTTTAAATTTGAACCAATTTTCGCAAATGACCGAATGATCACTTCGTCTGATTTTCCTTATTATAAATATGAACGCATTGTAGTGGTATTTACTTGGAGCATTCTAGTAAACAGACATCATCTAGTAATTGCTTCTACTTACTAGTGTGGGATGATCATAAATGGATATGTAACTGTTGTTGATGAACTCACTTTTATGGATTTTTTATTTTAAGCATGTTTAAGATTATAAAATTAAAATATTTTTTTATTATATTTCACATATTTTGGTTTAAGATCTCAAATTTTTTTATCTTTTTTATTATTATGTTAAGTCAAAATCAGACAAAAAAATTGAAACAAAAAGTATACTATTTTGCCTTTATATATTCAACACGAATATCAAGACCTCTAATTAAGGGAGGAACGACTTTATCCGCTACCACGTCCTTTCTTGGTCATGTCATAATTTTTATGTTACATATTAATTTATGCCACTTACACGTTTCACGAGTATCCTTTAAAGCCGTCATGTAAAGAGGGATCTTAGACCTAACTCAACCTCAAAAACTAACTCTTTTGAGGAGAACATTGTCCAAATTCCATATAAGGAGACTAAATTCCCATCCCTTTTCCGATGTGGGAATTCTTGACACTCCCCCGCACGCCCAGACCTTGTTAATTGAAGCGTGGACACTATAATATGGGGCTCAACAACGGTGAACAAAGAATTGAAATGGGCCTAGCTATGATACCATGTAAAGATGGATCTTGGACCTAATTCAACCTTAAAAGCTAGCTTATGAGGGAAGAATTGTCCAAGTTCCATATAAGGAGACTAAATTCCCATCCCTTTTCCGATGTGGGAATTCTTAACACTCCCCCGCACGCCCAGACCTTGTTAATTGGAGCGTGGACACTATAATATGGGGCCCAACATCGGTGAACAAATAATTGAAATGGGCCTAGCTATGATACCATGTAAAAATAGATCTTAGACCTAACTCAACCTTAAAAACTAGCTTATGAGGAGAGAACTGTCCAAGTTCCATATAAGGAGACTAAATTCCCACCCTTTTCCGATGTGGAAATTCTTAACATGTCATTTAATAGAACTCTTTTAATCCATTTATAGAAGAGTTTTTTCTTATAATTTTTATTTATTTTCTTTAAAATATTAAGAATTATTTCATTCAGTAATGCAAATTGCAATCTTTCTTTATACTCAATCATGTATATAAATATTTAGTTTTTCACGAATACTATCGTGATAAATTCTAGCCAGGAAATGATGAAAATGTTAAGATTTTGCAGTTATTTCAACAATGCATATTGTTAAGGTCTAATTCTGGTGTAAATTATAAAGGAGACGAGCAAAAACATACCACTTAGCACAAGAGAGGTTAATATCTGTAGGCAAGCAAATAGTTGTTCTTTGTACCATTCAAATATTAAGAATGTATTAGTGAACAATAGTTCATCCATTTAGGGGTTACACTTCAGAGATCTTCACTATTTTAGCTCAAGTTACAACATATAACTCCAAAGAAGCATAAAGTTACTCAAAAGTCATGTTTTCCACCTCTTCTCTAATGGAATCAAACAGCACGGTGGAAAGATAACGCTCTCCAGAACTAGCGAATATAATCTGCATAGAGAATTTTAGGCCAGTGTTCAAATGTTTTAAGGAGACAGACAAAAGAATATGTTATCAGCTTAATTACTGAATAGAATTAACTTTACCACAATAAGTTTCCCAGCATTTTCTGGCCTTTTTGCTACTTTTACTGCAGCAGCAGCTGAAGCCCCTGATGATATTCCTACCTGAAAATATTCCAAAATAAAAAGTAAGTATAGCCGTGACGACGACATAATAATAAGAACACACATCACAAATGAAGCGGTAGACAAGCAATCTGTGGATTCAAATAAAAGTGATTCTTACCAGCAGGCCTTCTTTCAATGCAAGAAGCTTTGTCATTTCAATAGCTTCATCACTAGATACCTGAACATTATATAAAAACAGAAGCTGATATCATACCAGGAAAAACTTATACACACTGAACAGAAATTTAAATGTTTATAATCTGACAACTAATACAGCCTTACTTGAAGAACTTCATCCAGGATGCTCTGATCCAGAACAGGTGGGATAAAACCAGGACCAATTCCTTGGATTTTATGTGGCCCTACAACGGTTAACATTTAATAAATAATTCACAGAAAGTAGTGATGAAAACACAGTGTTAGAGATGAGCTTGAACAACTCTCTTTATATGGAACTAATGCAATGACATGTCAGTTGACTGACCTAGTTGTCCTCCATTTAGAAATGCATTTTCGGTTGGTTCTAAACCATATACCTGATTTTCCGACAAGGAAAGAAAATCACAAATCAAGTCAAAAGGAAAGAAGAACAATGCCGGTCACAAATAACCTTACCTTTATTTCTGGATTCTTCTCCTTAAGAAACCTTCCAATTCCTGTCACTGTGCCTCCAGTCCCAATCCCAGCAATTAAAATATCAACTTTCCCTCCGGTACAATTCCATATTTCAGGTCCAGTTGCTTCATAATGTATCTATAAAATGGATATATACTTGATAAGTGTTATGTTTTTATAACAAATGAATTGAGTTATTTGTATAGACACCTTTGGATTGGCAGGGTTTTCGCTCTGACGAAGAAAATAACAGCTCGGTGTTCCGTCTTTTATCTCTTGGGCCTTCTGAAGCACACCATCTATACCTTTGGCAGGATCTGTGATGTATAACTCAGCCCCCAAAGCTTTAAGAACAATCCTTTTCTCAATACTATATGATCCTGGCATCACTATCACGAGTTTATAGCCACGAACTGCTGCAATAGACGCAAGACCAATGCCGGTATTTCCACTGGATGTCTCTAGAAGGACAGTCTTAAGCCACCATTATTTCATCATTTGAAAACCAAGAAAATAACTTCAGTTCAACCTTTCAGATAAATTATAATAGACCACAGAATTCACATCACTATCAAGAGAAATGAACATATATATATATATATATATATATATATATCTTCAATGTGTTCCTCTTTCATCTTGCTATTATCTCATACAAACTTCACCAACTTTCCAGGACTAATCAGGCCCCTGTCTTCTGCAT